TATACAATCATTTGTAGTTACAATTCAGCTGTTAGACGCACTGCGCAGTCCGTGAGAGAATGGGTAGGCGCTTCGAACGGCTGATTAGCCCAATCGTCGGTTTTAGAAGCGGTTTAGTATTTCATCAAATATATCAACATAGCTGTTGGAATTACCCAATATATGGAATTACCCAATATATTAGCATATATCAGATGTTTAATACATGGGTTACCACAAGTCCTCTATTCCACAAACACTCAACACTTTGCCATGATTTAACAGGTAGCGCCAGTTTTGTAGTTCCCTGGTGGAGACACAGCGCGGCGCATAAATTAAAAACAGCAACCGCTGGGAACCAATAAGCCACAAAATAGCCCTTTAGTGCCGTTTAGTTGCCGCTTATTGATCTATTCAAAGGATACAGTAACCATGAAACGTCTCCTAAAGACTATTTATTGCGCATGCTGTCGCCGTCGAAGCGAAGCGGCAGTTATAGATATTTGGTCGCTGAACATCTGGGCAAAGGTCAACGATGAATATCACCGGCTATGTAGGCCAACAGCTCAGTGGTTGTTCCAGTCACTTGTGTCGCAGTTGTTCAAAGCAATAAATAAGGTGCAGTAAACATGTGCAACAGGAAACGCTCATTCGCAAGCCGTTTGTGCAAAAGAGTCCATTCGAGCTGGCAGCAATTTAAGAAGTCACAAGCGCAGCAGAATATCCAAATATATTAAATTTCATTTTCATTGGGAGCTGTGCACACATGTAAGGTCGTGGGATAGGGTCAAACTAAAATAAGAATAGGTATAATGTTTCTAAATTTTGGTAGATATTCTCCCTTTGTATTTATTTGGATCTTGTTTCTATCCCGCTTGTAGGTATGTATAAAGAAAACTATCTACCACGTGTCAATAATAACGTGATGCTAAAACGAATGACGCTGAGCTTCCCGTGTAACGGCGTGTTTCGTTTTCTTTTCAGACCCAGGTTATGTGATATGTGAATTTTGTTCCACATATGCTTCCACATCTGGCACTAGCTTATGCGGACATTTAATTTTATAATCTGGTCCGTAAAACCAAGTGTGAGTAGGCATGCACTCAACTTCACGGGTTATAATGCGTCAAGATTAACTTCACATTTTACCATTGTGTGCTATGCTATGCGGCTATACCCTTGCTTAAAAAAAGCACAGACTGAAAGACAGACATTCACATTCCTCGATACTCAAAACGTTATACGTCTTTTCATATTGGAAGCTAATGGTTTGACATTGCACTGGATAATGGACATTGGATTTGGACATATTAATATCTATCGGATCATGTATCGACACGCTAGCATTTTTTAGTCCTCATGCACCAGTGTTCTGTACATCACCTGTGCTGGCCACTGTTGATGTCGTCCTGCTCCGACACGACACCGGAAACCGAACACCGAACCCGAACCCTCAGCGCACGCACGAGGCGACGCGCGCCGCCCCTGGAGAGACAGCGGAGACTGCAGTGGCCGCAGACGGCGCTACCACCAGACCGGACGGCGCCGGGGAGGGAGGGGGAGGGGGAGGGGGAGGGGGAGGGGAGGGGGACAGCCGCGGGCACTGGCCGGTCGCTGGCGGCAGACGGTGGCCACAGCGGACCCAGGCGGAGATGTGAGGGGTTCTCGGAATTCAGCCGTGGCTGTCTGCATGGGCATTTTGTAGTAAAACGAATAATATGCGTAAGTACCTACAGTTGACAGGTGAGTGAAGCTTACATACGAGTATGCTCACAAAACACAAATTTGCTTGTTGCTACGACACAAGCAAGAACAATGAAAAAAGTTTTCCATTGAGTTCCTATTCCATTTAGCTGGGCAAACTAATTGCACCGTTTACGAGCACAGTTCGTCAGGACACCACAACATATTTTCTCAGTCTTGCGTCATAGTCTTTTTTTTGTGACATCCACGACGGTTAAACGGTCGGATCACACATCTTAACCCTCGCCCGCACATGCCATTTTCCCATCCTAGAACGCACTTTTCGACAAAAACCTGCGACATTTCGTTCCTGTTGGAGATAGAGCTTAGCGGTAAAGACCAAAAAGATTATTTGGAAAGAGACGACTCCAATGATACCCAGTTTTACCTTCTCAGGTCAGGTCAAACTAAAAAATGTTGCTGTTTTGGGTCACCGTTGGATATCAAGTTCATCATATACCGATGACGATGCCATATTGTGGTGCCAAGTCAGCTAGAACCTCTTTGTCACACTATCCGACCAGGTTTGTGCTGCTGTGGTCATTTCAGGTCAAGTTAGGTCAAGGTCAATGATATGTGTTTGTATGTCTGTGTGTGTCTGTGTGTATACTGATGTGTGCACCGATTGTTTATGTGTTCATATTGCATGAGATCATGAAATGAGAAGCTTTTACCAAAAATACAGTCAAAGAAACTTCACGAAAAGCAAATTCAGCTTGCCTAAAACGCAATGTTTTTAGATGACCTAGGTTGACCTTGACCCTGACCTTGACATCTGAACATCGTCGAACAACATGTTCCATGATAGTTGTGAGGTAAGACTGGCAAAAAAGGCCGAAATCAAGGTGTCAAAAGCTCACAAGACCCATAGCCAACGCAAGACATTGGATATTTGTCATTTGGATCATGACATGACCTGAAGAACAAGGTCACATCTCCAAAACCAAAAGCCACAGAAACTTGAAATTTTCAGTGGACATCAAGAAAGGAGGATAGAGGAGCAGCGATACAAAAAAAAATCAAGCTTTTAGCTTTAAAAATGTTGAGCGCAGAGCAGAAAAACTACCTGGGGGTGGCAACAACCCCCCCCCCCCCGCCATGTGCGGGCGAGAGTTAAGCGAAACATGAAGCACTGCTAATGATAGCACAAAGTCACATGTGAGACTCAGTAACTTAATTACACAAAGCTTCATGATAACTCCACAGAAATAAGTTCACTCACAGATATTGCCCTCCCAGCTTGTCTGGCTTATTACTCCGTGATCGTATCTTAGCTTCTGACACGGAATAAGGGCCGCGGCCGAGTCAAAACAGGCCGACAAAACAGCGCACAGTGGGCCAGGCGCATCAAAAAAGCGGAATTAAGTCGAAAATCAACTTCGGTGAAATTCCTGTAATTATGGGATAGAGTATTGTAAAAATGTCCAAAGTTTCCGAATAAGCAAGTTTCCTTTCCCCAATGTCAAGGCAGATAATGCTATAACGTCGCAAAGTAGGACTTACCGACTGGAGATGGAAATGACTGCTGTGTACCATATTACGTTCCCCCGATTCAAAAGCTCTCAGCGTAAAATCATTAAAGTTATTCCGTACAAAATAGCTTTAAAAAAACAGCCGGTATTTCTGCGCATGTTTCTCGTACTCAAGTTCCCGGGAACTATTTCATGCTTACTAGTAGCGGTGGGGTTTACAGTGCCTGTTCGGAACCCTGGTAGTGCAAAGACGCAATGAATTTATATAAGGATATAAAGAAAACGTCACCGAACAACACGAAGATATTTGCTGCCTGACTTTCCTCAAGGTGTATAGCTTGCTGCCCAATGCAAATATTTTGCGCATTTTTGCGCGAAATGGACAAATAAGGGTTTAACCCTCGCTGGCATAGGCCGTTTTGCATCCCTCGACGGCACAGGGGGATGCGACCCTCCTCGCGTTTGGCCCCTAATTGAGTTAGAGCCTCGCGGAAAAAAACATCGTGTAGGTCGTCACGAGACGAAGCCAACGGTACCCGGTTTTAAGGTCATAGGTCAAATGGTGACCTCTGAGGTCAGGTCAATGGCCGAAAGTCGGGACCTGTTAGAACGTCGTATAGTGTGGCTGCTAAGGGGGTTTTCGGGATGCTGATCACGAATATCATGTTAGTTTTGATCACAGATGATGTCTTCATGCATTTAGGCCAGGTCGGGTCAGCTCAGGTCAGGTCAACCAGTATGGGTCCTGCCGGGTATTCGTAGTAGGTGACAACCCGCCTCTGACAGCTTCGTAACATGTTACGAAGGCACCAAAACTACTTCGTAAATGTTCAAATGGTTCCTAAATTCGAATTCAGCTCCAAAAACTAGCCCAGAAACATGTAAAACTCGAAAAAGTGAACCGAGGTCATCGAAGGTCAATGACCTGACCTGACCTTCAGGTGACCTTTACACCCACCCTAATGCATGGGACCAACATCATATCACATGTTTGAACGCTTGAAACCACGAAAAGACTGCAAACGCGCGGCCAATGCGGCATAGTGCCCGCCTGTCCCAGGCATATGTGCAGCGCAGAAATTAAATAATGACGTCATAGGTCAGTGACCTAGCGTAACCAATCAAATTTGAAAATGGATATCGGATTCGGCTTTAGCATGATATCTTACCCTGTAACGAATCGTTTTTGGCACCGCAGCTGTGCTCAATGATTTAATTCCGCTTTTTTGAAGCGCCTGGCCCACTGTGCAGCGTAACGGAAGCTGAACAGTCATTCTCATTCATGACTGCCACTTGTTTGCCTATTTCCATGCAACTATATAACAAACCTTTGACGGGAAGAAAATTGACCAAAACATGTTACTCAATCGAGAATGTTGGACACTTGCTATGATTTTTAGAGCCATTTGATTAGGTACTGCCGCTCAGTCTGATCATGTTAAGTCTTATCTAATATATGAAAAGCATGTCATTCAGAAACTTCCAACTATTTTGAATGTTTATCAATCGAGCTATTTTGAAATCGCAACAGTAATACCAATCTCGCTTGTCCAGCGCAAGGGTCGTGAAAACACCCTTCTAATTCATAATGTGTTTATGATTCATGTTCTCTTCCGTTCGATAAACAAGATGGAACAGCGATCTCCTGTTAATGCACTGATATAATCGCCACACGATAGCGGCTACATGCGCTACCGTATCTGCTCGAGTGTCCCCTGTCTCCGAGACGGCAGGTGCTCGGTGCAATGCCCCGGTCGCGGCGGCCTCCGCTCAGCCCACACGGCCGCCGGCTGTCCCCAGTAGGATGTAGATAGCGGCTATCGTCCCTATCGGCGCGATATGGGACGGCGACGCGCGGCGATCGGCGACGTCTCAGCTATCGGCGGATTAGTGGCGAGCCTTGACGTCAGTCGGAGGAGCCCGGCGGCGGCGCAGTGTCTGTGACGCTGTGACGCCGCGTTCAGAGGTGACTGGCTGGATAAGGTGGCTCCGACAGTGAGTGGTCCGCGGGTCAGTGGATCCAGGCGTGTGGTCAGTGGATGGTGCCGGGCTCGTGGGTGACCCACGGAGACACGGGGTCGCCAGGTCGGGGAGGTCCGGTGCCGTGACGGGGACGGTCGGCTGACGCTCGGCCAGCCGCCCCTCCGCCGCTGTCGGGGAGTAGAACCACCCAGCTGTGCCCCCAGCGTCTGTCAGGGAGCAGAACCACCCAGCTGTGCCCCCGGCGTCTGTCGGAGGGTGACCGGCCGGCGCGCCCGGCTGCTGCTGCCGATCTGACCGCGCAGACCACCATGGGACCTAACGGACGAGGACTGCCGCTGGTTTTGGTGGCCTTGCTCGTATCGTCGGCCGTCTCTTCAGGTGAGAAGCACTGCCGTCTGTAGCGAGGTTGTGCTGGAGCAGTCGTGAAATAACAACTCATGCTTAGCACATTCAGTGCCAACCCGTGATTTGTCGGACGTGTTCGGAAGCCACATTACACAGTGCTTTCCGCTTATCAATATAACGCCACACGGCTTGTATGTAACTCCACTGTTTTCTTCTAATGGTTCGTTAGCCTATATGTTTTCATAAGGCGTAGTTGGAGCTCTATTTTTCCATGTCACGATTACGATCAGATTTTAGCAGAGCTTGGTGTACAGATTTTATTTATTGACTGATTCATATTTGTTGCCGAATTTCACCTACCTATCCTTACTCGGGTATGTATATACAACACATCATACCGCACCTATCAGAATGCATACCGTCATACTAACTACAAAAAAAAAAAATGAAATGGGCACATACAATGCCGGAAGCTGTAAAGCTCAGGGTAAAATGTCCCTCCTGCGGCTCATAGAGATATGTGCTGTAGCGGAGTGTCGGCTCTATTTGCAGACGGGTCGCGGCCGTCCGGTTCGGCCGGCGACTGGATGCCGAGGCTGCTGGAGCTCAGTGAGGACGAGGTGGTGGACGAGACGCAGCCCGAGGATGTCGGACAGGCAGCCGTCGATCCCTGCGTCTCCATAGAGGACTGCGTCGTCAACTGCACGCTGCCCGACCTACAGGTGGTCAGCCTGCAGTCAACCGACTACCAGTGCCCGGTATGTGGTCTAGCGGTAACCTACAGGTGGTCAACGTACTCGTACAGTCAGACAGGTACCAGTGGTATGTGGTCTACCGGTAGGTATGTGGTCTAGAGGTAGAGACCGCTGTTGGATCCTCACCTGGCAGCAGCCATAACACGCGGGCGGCATAGCATAGTGAGTGCTGACGGTTGCTCCTATGAGGTGTGTTTACCTCATATGTTGCACTTCAGTGAAGATAATTGCAGATAGCTGATAACTAGATAAGGAAGATGATCAATCGAAAGATAGCACATCCACTAACTGGCTTAATCTGAATTAGGTCTGACAGCACATTGCTTTTGCGTCGCCAGGACATACGTTCTTCACAAATAAGTTAACTTTTGAACTTGTTTTCACTGTGTACATGCATATTCGCTCTATTTGATGCCTCGGCTCACATCAGTGGCGCAGCCAGGGGGGGGGGGTCAGAGGGTCAGCTGACCCCCCCGAAATTTCTGTCGGGGGCCCGCTCGAGAGAGAAAGAAAGAAAGAGAGAGAGAGAGAGAGAGAGAGAGAGAGAGAGAGAGAGAGAGAGAGAGAGAGAGAGAGAGAGAGAGAGAGGAGAGAGGTCCTAATCTAATTGGACGAGCCCGCTTCGAGAAATGCCTACTGGGACACCACGGGTGAGGGGTCGGCCTGGGGCTCCAGGTGGATGGGGCCCGGGCCCCCGGGAGAACGGGCCCGGGCCCCCTGGGTGGATGGGACCCGGGCCCCCGTGGACGGGGCCCGAACCCCCGGGAGAACGGGTCCGGGCCCCCGGATGAGAACGGGCCCGGGCCCCCGGGAGAACGGGTCCGGGGCCCCTGGTGGATGGGGCCCGGGACCCCCGGTGGATGGGGCCCGGACCTCCAATGGATGGGCCCGGGCCCCGGGAGAACGGGTCCGGGCCCCCAGGAGAACGGGCCCGGGCCCCCTGGGTGGATGGGGCCCGGATCCCCGGGTGGATGGGGCCCGGAGACCAGGTGGACGTGGCCCGGGCCCCCGTGTGGATAGGGCTCGGGCACCCGTGTGGATAGGGCCCGGGCCCTCGGGTGAATGGGGCCCCCTAGGGTGACCGGCTTGCTCCGCAACGCGAATAATGGGTATTTTCGATCGGTGGGCGTTTGGTTGGTCTTGTGTCCATGGGTTATGTATCCATTTCAGTCGATTGCCTTTTGACGGGTAAGTATTTTGGTTTGGGAAAAAATATCCATCGCATCGAGGTGCTCGTGTCTGATAACCATGCGTTCTAATATAGAACATGCGAAGTATATTTTATAACATAGGTTGACGTAGGCTACCTATTGAAAAATTGAGGCCATCGATGAATTACTATGTAGAGGTTTGAAACGCTTATATTTTTAAGAATATTGTTGCTCTTCATGCAAAAGCGATGGATGGATATTGGACAAAATTGAATGCTCTTTTCAACTATGCCATTTTCAATTGTCAAACGTACCAGTTTATGCAGCAAAACCCGTGTAATTAAGTAGGTAAGTCATGAACAAATGCCATTTTCTTCAGCGATTTGTTCCACTTTGTTTTTGATCAATTAGCTTTTCACAATTTTCCCATGAGAGGCGGTACGTTTCTCTTGACAACAGGCATTGTTTGAACCCGCTTCGTCTGACAGTCACCCGAAAATAGCATTAAGTCCAAAATCCGTCCAAAAGTCAATTTTTTCAAGCATAAGTGCGTTACCAGGTGCGCGTGGCACGTGCCATCCCTGCACCGCACACCATTCGATAGCCCGTTCGATTATCATTTACGATACTGTGCTCCCCGTGCTGATCGGACCCACGGTTACCGAGATACTGCACGGGTACCGGACCCGTGTCGGGCAAATTTAGCTATTTTCGCCCGATTTTGCAAGCCGATTTATACATGTAAAGTCTATGACGCAAATGTACACTTTTTGAGCACGTGCCATGTCCTCACCACCGGCCCGATTGAGCTGAGACCCCTCACAGGCACGTTGCCCATCCTTGTTCCATCGGTTGCGCAAACTTCAGCGCACTGGGTGCAACGGTCACTCTAGCCTATACCTACCCCGCGCTAAGTAACACCATGCCGGGACCACGGTAACATACATAATCTACGTCACCACATCATCACACCACAACAAACCCGGCCCAAGGCAATACATGTCTCATGTGAGCGCGTTAGCCCTCGCCGGCACAGACCATTTTGCGTCCTTCGACGGCACAATTACGACCCCCCTCGCGTATGGCCCATGATCGAGATGTAGAGCTTCGCGGAAAACACGAGCGTGTTGCCCGTGACGAGAGGAAGCCGATGATCCCCAATTTAAAGGTCCTAGGTTAGGTCATTGGTTGACCTTCCAGGTCAGGTCAATGACCCAAAAGTCGGGAAAATCGGGACCTGTTAGAACGTCGTAAATTGTGGCTGCTATAGGGCTTTTTGGGGTGCTGATCACGAACATTATGTTAGTTTTGATCACAGATGATGCATTTAGGCCAGGTCGGGTCAGGTCAGTTCAGGTCAGGTCAACCAGTAGGGATCGTGACGGGTATTCGTAGAACATACGTGTCAACCGCCTCTGACAGCTTCGTCACATGCTACGAAGGCACCAAAACTACTTAAATTTTCAAATGGTTGCTAAATTCGAATTCAGCTAAACAAAAACTAGCCTAGAAACATGCATAGAGCTTGAAAAAGTGTACTGAGGTCCTCATAGGCCAATGACCTGACCTGACCTTCAGGCTTCAGGTGACATTGACATCCACCCTTATGCATGGGAGCAACATATCAAATCACATGTTTGAACGCTTGAAACCACGAAAGGACTGCAAACGCGCCGCTAATGCGAGCCGGCATACGCCGAACCACGATTCTGGCCAAACATGGTCTCGGAAAGTAGGCCAACTTTGGCCTACTTTCCGACCTTTAGGTCGGAATTTGACCTTGAATTGACCTTTAGGTCATTTGGGTCAGGGTCATGAAATTTCTAGGGTACGTGTAAAATTGATCAACGCGAGGGTACTGAAAGTTACGTCGCGATCAGTCGCTTTTTACGCAAGTTATTTGCGAAAAAAAAAACTTTAGGGGGGTTGTATCAAACCCTTCCCCCTGTGCTGTGCCGCGAGGGTTAAAACTTCTTGTGAGCGAATTCACGTAATGAAGAAGAATAAAGGCACAATCTACTACAGCAGCCAATAGATGACTTAGAACAGGCACATGGGACTAGTTAAATATTGTCCGACAGAAGCAGGCAACAGTTCCGATTGCATATATGCTATGCATATTGCGGAAGGGGCACATTCGGCCTCGAAAGATACGAATTCTTACGTCATAGCAACATATTTCTGTCGTGGTCAATTTGCGTAAAAATTGAACACCGAGTGATTACCGAGCTATTGTTCTATCCAAATGTTCTGATTCAAACTCGCTCAGGGTTATCGTACAGGTAAAGGGGGCCCGCTCAGCAGAATGTGTATGAAATACGGAGAGATTCTGAAAAATGGGTGGGGGGCCCGCACACCAGGGGGCCCGCTTTGGAGGCGATGACCCCCCCGAAATGAAATCCTGGCTGCGCCACTGGCTCACATACCTTTATTTTGACCGTCTCTCCCGCACCCGTTCCGCTGAAGACACCCGGCCTGTGGACGATCACGCTGAACGCCTCCTCGGAGGACGCCGTGCTCCGACTGCACGTGGAGCAGGCCTCTCGGCTGGCGGTGGACGAGTCGCTGACCGTGCTGGAGCCGGACGGCAGCACGCTGGCCGTGCTGACCGAGTCCCAGCCGACGGCCTGGGTGGCCGCGCCCTCCTCCTCACTGGTGCTGGAGTACCAGCAGGAGGACCCCGCCAGCCAGATCCAGATCTCCCTGGTGGCCTACAATCAGAGTGAGTTCGACTAGGAGAGGACCAAAACAGCTAGGTCCAGATTACGCTGGAAGCTTGCAGTTAAAGTGGGCTACCCATCAGGAGGAAGTAGGAGACGGGGATACGAGAGGATGATGAATTGAACTGGGGCTCTACATCTGTAGGAGCAGGAGCGAAGCTAAGGAGTAATTGAGGGGTGGTAGAGGGTAGGGAATACTAGAAGAAAATCAGAACAGAGGCAAAGAGAAAAGGAATATTGTGGGTAGTTACAACGGAAAAATATTGAAAGATGGTAGGTATGATCAAAGGTGATTAATCTAATAAGGATTAAGACCTGAAAGGTTGGTAGGTAGGTACTGTGTCAGTCTGACGCCTACTGAACTGCTAACCGGCATGTCTCACCTTTTCAATCGTCATCTGCAGCCCAAGAGAATAAAGAGATCACGGACAAGATGTCGGGGACCATAGAGGCGCCCGATCAGGCTAACTGGACGGGCGGCGCCGACTACGCCGTGAACACGGAGCACCTCTGGCATCTGAACCTGCTGGAGACGGCCAGCAGCATCAACTTCACCGTCCAGAACCTGGATCTGGACGCCGGGGCCGGCGACCTGCTCATCATCGGCGCCGGTGAGGAGCCGTCCCGGCAGCTACGGGGCTGCAGACCTCACGGTATCGCTCGGGCATGGGGTGAAATAAAGGGAGATAGTAGAGGTGAAACGCCTGATGTCAAGAGATCGGACTCCAAAGCTGGTACTTTTAAAATCCCAGTCGAGAGTCAATTTAACCCGCGCCGTGCTGGTGGCCTGAGTTTTCCGTGTCGTGCTAGGGGGCGGGGGGGGGGGCATTTTCACGCCCCCCCCCCGTCTAACTCGGCTCCTAGGTCACGTAGCGACAACGCGGTAAGTGGCAATCAAAAGAGCGTCACAAAAGTGGCGGAAATACTTAGGTCATTTTCAAGGTCAGGTCAAATGTCAGATCACCAGAGGTCATCAAAGGTCAAATTTTGTCGATTTCATCAATTTTGAAACACCCGACGGTTAACTCGGGAACCAACAGAGCTACAGCGCCGCAGAAAAGCGCATTCGATAGCTATTTTAACGCTCTTTCGCCAAGGTGCCCTCAGATTTGACCTCAGATTAACAGTTTAGCCTCCAGAGGGTAAAAACCCTAAAAATAACCCTTTTTCACGAAAAATGTTTGTGTGTAATAACTTTTGACTCAGAAGAGCCACGACATTACTTTTGCCAGCATCGTGTTCCTCTCGTCAAGACGCGTTGAATGAACTATGATTTGACCTTGAAAGGTCATTTTTAAATTGACTTCAGGTCAAGGTCATGACCTGACCGGAAAGGGTCATGTTGCATATCAGTCGATCTGTAATCGTCGAGCTGAACACATCTGACGTGTTTTCACCGCTCTAGCACGTCTCTATCTAAGTTATATTTTAAAAACTGCTGGTGACCTGTCATGGCCTGAGATGAACTCAAGGGCACACAGAGGGGTCGCAAGTACAATTTTCTGGTTCAATGTGTAATGTTTACTTGTGAACCTATGTTTGAGAAGTTTTAGAACGACATTCGTCCAAAAGAGGCGCATTTCAATTTTCTCCCATTGAAGCTTATACCTACCTAATGGAGAAGTCGCAAAATTGACCTGACCTTAGGTCATAGATATAAAAATATGTGATATAAATTGTATACATATGTACTGTTACCCTAAGCAATCACTGAAAGTTTCAAAGTGATCGCTCAGTCGCTGTAGCTACAGCGAGCCTTCAAACTTTTACTGAGGTCACTAAGGTCACTTGACGTAAACTGGTGACCTGACCTTGAATGACCGGGGCCTGAAATTTTCACAACATTTGCGGAAAATATGTAAAAACAGTTGGCGCCATTTTAAGGTCACTCTCACTACGCGCCGTAAAAACGCCTCCCCCAGCACGACGCGGGGTAATACGGGCCGAGTTTTTAAACGGGCCGTAACAAAATACATTTAAAAAATTTGCTTTTTTGCAGCCCTGGGTCGGTGCTGGTCTCCCCAAATGTGTGTGTGAGTGTCCCAGTTGATGACCTCGACCATTTGACCCAGGTGACGGCCCGTACGCCTCCGAGCCTGTCGCCCACCTCTTGACCGGGAGCTTCTCCACACGACACTACCACGTGCCGGCCGGCGAGGCGTTCGTCTACCTGCTGTCCCGGTCCCACGCGGCGCCTCGAACTCCGTTCAAAGTCAGCTACACAGCCGAGAGTGAGTAGAAACGGTAGACCGAGCTTCACAGCCGGAAATGAGTAGACACTAGCCGTTTTCACGACGGGCTATCCGGCGAATGCACCAAATTTGACCAAATCTGCACCTAATCTCTTTTACAGCGAATATCTTCATTTTGTGAATTTATTTCAGTGTTTTAACCCGCGCCCCAGTGGTGGTCTCCGCCAACTTCGCCCTAGTGGGGGGGGGGGGGAGGGGCATATGGTACCACCCACCTCTAACTCAAAAACTAAGAGGGCTAGAAAGACGCGGTAAAAAGCAGTCGATAGCTCTTGATGCGTGCGTTTGAAAGTATTTAGGTCATTTTTCATCTTAGAGCAATATTGGTGTCACCAGAGGTCATCAAAGGTCAAAATTTGCGAATTGTCATTATATTTTTCAGAAAACATGCCATTATCTCAGGAACTATGATAGCTAAAAAAACGCTGGGAAAAACAATCGATAGCTTTTGAACTTTTCTTTTGATAAGGTCATCATAAAAAATGACCTCAGGTCAACTGTTTAGCCTCCAGAGGGCAAAAACTCCAAAAATAGCTGTTTTTCAGAAAAGTGTTTTTCGACAATAACTTTTGATTAAAAAAGCTAGGTCATTTCTAATGCCAGAATCGTGTTCCTCTCGCCGAGACGCGTCGAATGAACTATAATTTGACCTTGAAAAGTCAACTTCAAAATTTGACCTCAGGTCAAGGTCTGACCGGAAAAGGTCATGTTGCATATCAGTCGATGCGTCTCGGCAAGAAAAACACAATGAGGCCAACCCCAGCGTTCTATCTTTTTCCAATCGAGAGTTATTGGCAAAAAACTGTTTGTAGCCTCAAATGACCTCGGATGACCTTTCAAGAGGCTATCAGCAAAAAAGACACCTTGGTCGTCACGGGTGGTCCAAATCATTGTTATCCTGAAATATTTGGACTGTTCCTATGCGTACACACGGATCTAGCGGCATTTTCGTTTTTCTCCATTGATTTATAATGGAAAGGTCACGCCACCGACCTGACCTTAGGTCACGCATATAAAAAAATCCGAGATATACAAATTGTAGGCACCCATAACATCATGTAATCCACCAAGTTTAAAACCTCTATGACAAACACTGCAGGCTGGACATGAATGCAAACGTTTTTAGGCTTGGTCAGTTAACTTGACCTGGTGACCTGACCTGATATGACCTGGGGTCGAAAATTTCACACATTGTCCAAAATTGATGTACCAAAAGCTACCCCAAGCGGCGCGGTGCTACGCGCCGCGGTTTTTTATTTATACGAAAGAACCGCGACAGGGTGGTAACATATGCCCCCCCCCCCCCACTGGGGCGAAGGTTAATCGATGATACTCTCTGATAATATGACAAAGCCGGCATATACGCAATTAGCGCAACCCTAGCTGATAGCTACTAAGAGATACACTGAACCTCATTTGACCAAATATGCACCTAATCTGCACCAAATGTGCACCAAATGTGTACCAAATGGCCGTCGTGAAAACGGCTTTTGTATACAGAGCTACAAGGTATGAGTGAGTAGAAGTGGTAGATCACCCCGGAGCCCGTTCGAAGTCATCTACACGGCCAAAATAAAGTAAATAACGCTAGGTCATCCCAGATTAAGCTCGTAACAAATTTGTGTTAACATTACGAGTTAACGAATTATCATGTAAGGCAATTCAAAGTCACAAAGAGGAAACTGTACAAAAGTGCTAAAAAAGACGTATACACTAGAGGCCCGTTTTGTATGGTCCGTTCTATCGTCTCTCTGCCGTCTCGCCGTCCTGCAGAGGTCATCGGCACGACGACCATGGCGCCGACCACGACGGACCGCAACCACCCGCCGACGCCGAGTAACCAGGACTTCCAGCTGGACTGCTACATCACCGGCACGGAGCCGGGCCGCTTCGTGGACCCCAACGACACAGCCACAGCTCACCTGCGGGAGACGCTGGCGCTCTGGGCCAACGTCTACAAAGGCGACCACAACGTGCCAGCCTGGCGAGATGTCAGGTATGAATCTCAGGCCCTACTGCAGTGCGGCACTATTGATCGCACAGCGAGTTAAAAAAGCAGGCGAAAGCATCTGTTCATTTCGATACATAATGTATCTATCGGTTAAGTATGTAGAATTTAAGTTAAACAGACTTGCTGACCTGTTGAAGTACGCGTACACTGACACCTGTGCCTGACACCTGCCCCCCCCCCTCCCTCCCCGCCCGCACAGGTCGGACGACGTCCAGTTCAGCGCGTGGATGATGTGCGACTACACCTCCGGCTGGGTGGTCACCGACCCCAACTGCGTCCGGGTGACGTGGTTCATCGAGCTGCTGGCCACCGACGGACAGTGGGCCTTCCTGGAGCCGCAGCTGTACGGCATCGTCTTCGAGAACGGCGCCGGCATCAACAAGGACCTGGGCTACCAGGTGAGTGGCGCAAAGGAGCAGTCCGTGGAACAGGCGTACCGCGGGACAGGTCAGATGATGGGATTGTATGATACTGCCTCACAGCAAACCTGTCCTGAGGCCTCTTGCACCAAACTACCTAGCTAGGTAAAATCGAAAGACCAGTTTCAGAATAAGCTAATCTAACGGCGGTAAATTTGTTTGCCACAGCCCAATACATAATCTTACAGGTGCTTGGTAAATTTTACACGCAAATTGTCACATTTGAGTCTTAAATTGGGTATACGATGCAAAATAATCCAAGCATTGGTGCAAGAGGATTTTGGTGCAAGAGGCCTCTGGTCCAAAACCAGTGTCGGCAGAAGTTGATGCTATTGTTCGATCGATCGTCAGTAGGCAGTAACCGAGACTGTGCCGCCCTTTCAACCGTTGTCTCTCTGCGGAAAACGGTTTCCTCTGACGTCAATGTCAATCGTTCTCTGTTCTCTGGCAGTTTTCTCTGACGCTGACCGAGGTCAACAAGACGCTGTGGTGGGCCATCACCATCGCGCTGGTGCCACTGGCGCTGCTGGTGTTTATGGTGGTGATGTGGATGAGCTCCCGACCGGCGCACGCCAGGTGAGGGTGGCCCTGGTCCCCGCGCGCAGAGTAGGTACCGAAACAACCGCTGAACAGATAATGTAATACCGAGCTCTACATTTTCTTATAAAATGAGTAAAACTGTCATCTATAACATAATGTGTCCGTAATACCGACGAAATAAACAAAAATGCTTATGAATCATAGCTCAGCGGTACAAAAAACAAAAATGTTTGAAGTCTATACATACATCCACGTGCCTAAGAATTCGAGCATTGATATTCACACTGAAAATGCCGATTTAGCCTGACAGGGATTCGCGCTGTTCCAGAACGGACATGGACGATGAAGGCAGCATTCCCGAAATGGAAGACATCGACGACCACAAATATGGCATAGATCAGGAAATCAGGCCGTTTGAAGAAGACGTAAGTGCTGAATATTTATTTCCCGTCCATCATAGTACCTTTATTTTTCTGCCGGGATATACAGTAACTACATATATACTTTCGTTGAAGTCCATGCTTTTTAACTATGGTTCGGAGTAGAATATCAAACAATGCAGACCGGATCGCTGGCCTCTGCCGTGCAATCCGAGCGGACGCTACTGTTCGACCCTGGCCCCCGACTGACCCCCCCCCCCCCCCCTCCTCCCCTCCGGCCGCCAGCGGGTGAAGCAGGCGTTCGCTGGGGAGGACACGCTCAAAGAGTTCGACCCGGAGGTGCACGGCGCCGACCGACACCACTACCTGCCCAAGCGGCCGCTCAAGTCGGCGCTGAAGGCCCCCAAGCCGGCGCCCCCGCCCTCGTACACCAACCCGGCGTTTGAGGGCGACGACGAGGCTGGCGGCGGAGACTCCTCACTGAAACAGGCGCTCATCGCTTCGACCGCGGCACCAGCTGCGGCCCCGACTCCGGCTCCGGCTGCGGCCGCTCCGGCCCCGGCCCGCGCTCCGGTCCCGACCCCGACCCCGGCCCCGGCTCCCGTGGCTGCGGCTCCGGTGCTGCCGTCAGAGCCGGCCTCTGCCGAGCTGACGGAGCAGCTCAGACTGCTGAACGAGCTCAACAGGACGCTGAAGGAGGATCAGCCGCAGGCGAGCGGCATCGAGCTGCCGCGCGTCGACCGGCTCGTCAAGCCGCTCGGCGCGGCGGCCACGCCGAAAAAGTTCGTCATGAACGAGGATGGGTGAGTACACCACGAGGGAGGGCACCGGGAACGAGACACTGGCCTGAGGACAGACACAGGCAATGTGTCGATTCACCGCTGAGGGAGGTGGAATCGACACATTACTTGTGTCTGAGAAAAAAGATTTTGAGAAAAGCTTTAGCACCGTTTTGCCTTCATACCAAGCCTTTTCAGTAGGTACCTTTCAGTTTTATTTGAAACAACAGAGCACTAACTGCAGACTGTTGTTTTTTTTCAGAACTGGAACCGAGGTTGACATTGTACGACCCGGTAAGAACGTCATTCAGCTGGATGGTGATGATGACGGCGGAAACAGGAAGTCCTCCCACGTCTGATCAAGCCGCAGCTGACCAGCGGGCTTCGGAAAACGTGATGACTATCGACTACCATGCATACATATCTGTATACCCACTGTCAGAGATACCCTATAACCATGTATGTTTTAGACACTTTTATCTACATACTTCGACAGCTTTAAATGCCACACTGATGTTGGATTGTTAGCTATGTCTATCTCTGTTTATTATGGATAAGAAAGTTAAGTTGCCTGATGTCTCGTGGGTACCCACGGGAGGTACGGGCACTATCGGGATTGGGTAGGTGAAGAAGTGCCTAACGAGTGGTGGCCGTAAGAGGTTGGTCTGGTCACCTGCAGTCCATAGTGCCTCACATCTGATTTAGGAACGAATGGCGCGTGACCCATCGGGAAAATGTCTATAACCATCCGAATGTGCGTTGTATCTTAAATGAAATACGGTTTGGCTCAAACTCAAACAAAAGGAGTCAGAAACTCCTTATTGAAATGATGACGTTTTAACGTAAAAAGAGACGAATTTGAAAACATTGACTTTTCTGGTTTTAGAACCCAAGGTTTTGGTCACCTCATACTAGGTTTTTATTTCGCCTGTTCAATAGAAAAGGTCAGCTGTTCCGGCTCCGGTGTTATATACATACCTATAGGATACATATCTATTTGTCGACCGGCGTTGATTAAGTGCAATGAATGAACTTGCAATTATGCTAATAAGAGCAATTTTGTGATTTACGTATTTGTAACCAATCGTGATGGATGAATGAGATCATTCATATGTTTGGTGGCATCTTATTGGTTCTATGTAACCATGCACTATTCATAAGCATTCGTTTCCAATTCAACGATTTTATAGCCATATATCGGGAGAGTGATGACCAGTCGAAAAAGGGTTTCCATCAAAAGTAGAAAGGCAATTGCGTAAACACGGCTCGAACAGAAATGCAAAATTGATATAATTTATTCATTTACAAAATAAATAGTCATATGTGGTAAGAAACGAACATGTTTGAGTGCGAGGGAAATATAACACGATTTGTAAGTGAACATACACAATCATGCATGCTGCAGCGATGCGCGATATTTGGTGACCCATGTGTGGTATGTTGCATTTACGCATATCACAACGTATGTCCGTGCTTAGTGAGCCTATTACCGACGAGTTTTTCCTCAACTGGAACCAAACAGATAAAAATTGCAAACCACTTTTATAGCTACCAATAACTAAAAAGGCTATAACTTTTTGGCTTAAACTTAACTTATCGCAGCCAGCTTAACAGAGAAGCAAGATTTGTGACAAAATATTTTGAAGGCGACGCAAATGTCCTAAAAATGACTTTGAACTAGAGCAAGCAACTTTAAAGAGCGATGAATCATTCATGGAACTTCTCATCTCACATCCATGAACAGTATAAAAATCAAACCAACAAAGAAGCTTAAAACAAGCACGAAACGGACCCACACATGCACGCACACACAAACACATACACCCACATTCGAACAGCATAAAGACACACCCACGTACCTCCCGGTGCGTGTCTGCCATCTACCCGGAGCTGCTTCCACTACTCTCGGAACTTGCTCTTGATGAAGTTGGGCAGCGGCATGCTGTAGGCGAGCACGTTCAACAGGATCAGGCCGGCGACGAACGCGAACGTCCAGGCAAAGTTCCAGTAGAGGTGCAGGTCGTCCACCGGGTTCTTGATGTTGCCCAGGCTGTACCGCTCTTGGAGGTAGTGTGTGCCGTTCAAATACCTGACGACATAAAATGAAGTGAGGTGAACAACAAATCACCGCTGTCGTAACCGAGCAGCGGCGTAGCGTATAATATTTGCCAGTGCTTTAAAATGCAATAAATGACAAACTAGCGAATAGGTGACGATGGAAGCAGCGGCGAGGAGTAGGCTGGAGCACTTTTTTATCGATGGAGCAGCTGAAGTTGTGTAGCAAAGTAACAGCTGAACTTCAATCGTTCCACCTGTGCAGTACTCAGGTCGTCTACTTCATCCCTTCCAACAGTTACTAATCCCAGCGAATAGTCCCTATCACCGGTTCCAGCCACCACTCCCAGCCACCGGTCCCAGCCACTCGTGCCAGCGCACGCACCTGCAGCCGTATTGGGCGTTGTTGCTGATGCACTTGATCTGCGCTGTTTCGTTACGAGACGGCAGGTTCACCAGGTACTCCTTGTCGCGGAACATCTGCTCGTGCAGGAACGCGCTGGCGTAGCGGAAGATGACGACGTAACTGACGTAGTACAGCCACTTGGGCAGGCCCACCAGCGTCCTGAGAACGGGGTGGATTAGTCAGGAGAGCCGTAACATAATGCATTCGTACAGGCGGCCGACCGGCTTTTCAGTATGCGCCTTATCCTGCTCGTAGTATGGTCGTTGGTATGCTGACTATAGAGGTCGCTAGTCATTGGACGTGACATACTCGGTTTCAACCGCAATTTGTTCAATCAAACTCACCGACGTTTTACAATTGAATACTGAAATTAATTACAATGAAATACTGATAGTAATGGGATATAAGAAACTTTAAATCACCATTTCTCACAGTGAATACCCTATGCATTCGTATAGAAAGAGATAGGCATATTTAGCATATAACCGTAAAGCCGAATCGTAGATGATGCTGCCTTTAAACCACACAGCAGCTAAGAACCAGCACACCGTTACCTGCTTCTATCCTCAGGATACTGAACTCCTTCTCCTCCACGCCGCAACCCTCTCCGGGCTGGACAGGCAACTTTATCTCATGCGGCCTGCTCCCGAGGGAGCGCACCCCGTAGCCGGGTGCAGTGAGTACCTTGGGGCTGAGCGGCCTGTCCTCTGGACGGGCTCAGCCCCGGTGCCTCACTAGGGTGCCTGCCCAGACCAATGTCTCCCCCTATATCCTATCATCCTCCCGGCTCTGAAATGGTCTCATTGGACCGAAAGGGCCTAACCCAACAAAACAAACAAATAAGAACCAGCAACCCCTCCATTCCATTCGGCCGTTCGGTCTCACTTGAGCGTGCTGCTGCCGACGAGCAGGTAGGTGACGGTGCAGTAGAAGCTGGCGATGCCGGCCGAGAAGGAGGAGCGACAGAAGAGCAGCAGCAGCATGGTCTGGTGCTCGACGAACGCGTAGCAGGCCCAGAGGACGGTGAAGAAGAGGAACCACTGCCACAGCTGATCAGTGGTGCTGTAGCCGGGCGCCGCGCAGTTGACGCAGTGCTCGCCCAGCCCCAGACCCCTGCCAGAGGGGAGCGGGAGGGGTAAAACTGAGTGCTCGCCCAGCCCCAGGCCCCTGCCAGAGGGGGACGGGAGGGGTTAAACTGAGCGCTCGCCCAGCCTCAGATGGGCGAGCAGGCGACCCCCAGGCAGAGGGAGGCGAGGGGCGCCGACCAATCAGAGCGGAGGAGATAACGGCACCATAAATACAGAACAAGCTACATGGCATTCCAGCTTCACACGTACTTATCTTGGAAACAAAACACACAATTGTCTGAACGATTGCCATCGGTTGATTACGTAATCTTTCCGCTAAGTTTACCAAGAAAATGAGTTAAAACGTATTAACTTCCCGCACTGACCAGAATATGATGGAGGCTGCGGCGCAGACGGAGAGCGCGGAGAGCGGCAGGGAGCTCAGAGTCTGGCAGAAGACGAACGTGGCGCCGCCGTAGATGCCCTCCCGGGACTCCTGGTAGTAGCGCGTCCGAAACACGCCGACTGGGGCAGACGGGAGCGGGGGGAGAGGTCAGGTCGGGTCATATCGCACCAGCCGGACTACGGGAGCATGAAGATGGCATTCGGTCGGTCTTTTCAACGAACTGAAACAAGCTTAGAAGAGAATAGAATTGCTCAGTTTTGAAACACACGTAGACTAATGATTCTTCACAAATATATAACGTAATATTCTGACGCAATGCATTCGTTGCAAAATTATCATATCAATGTCATAAATTTCAGATCAATCAATGTCCGAACGCGATAAATCTACCGGTACCACTGATACACCCCCTTCGTCTGGAGGGCGCACCGGTGAGCGGGTGACTCACACGTGGACGCCGTGATGACGATAGAGAGCAGAGAGACGCCGGCCAGACAGTTGAAGATGAGTCCCGTCCGGGTGACCAGAGACTGCTGCGTGGCCTGCAGGGTAGGGGGACACACGGGTGCCGTGAGAACAGCGATCAGATGTGAAGAGGGGGTTAGAGTACTAGCCGGTGCTGAAGCCACCAGTGCCTCTACAACCCATGTTCACTTATCCCATGATCATGTATGCTGTGCATTACAATGCATTACGGTGTAAATTACGATAAAATTAGCACATTTTTACCGATCTGATTCCCTGAAGATGACTGGGAATGAATGGTTACGCGCATCTAGCATCGTCTACCGATGGCCAGTTCATTTATCTTTCCAGCCACAATGAGCGCAGAGGAAAGTGAACACCGCAGGGCACGCACCTGAAGTGGGAAGTAGAAATTCCACAGGACGAAGAAGAACATGGGCAGCAGGAACAGTTTGAGGCCGAGCAGCTTCAAACCGCTCCGCCGGAAGTTAAAGATGGAGTCGCACGTTCTCCTGAAAACAATAGAACGGGTTAGCAGTCCAAGAAACCCATGCTCCTGCCAGTTCAGCGTGTAATAAACCGTCTGAAAACAAAGAACTTCTGACAACCAAACCAAGCTGCTACCAATTATTTTGGTGCTACACTTAGTCAATTAGTGAGTAAATGAATAACTTACTTTGGCGTTGTCAGGTGAAATTCCCAGTATAAAAAGAACAGCCATCGCAACTACCCTATAGCAAAAAGTGAACACCAGCCATAACCACCAGCCGTTCAGTCTGTGTCTCGATCTCCCGTCAACCGTCCGTGTCCCACCGACCGTCCCTGCCTCAGTTCCCACTGACGTCTCACTGTCTCGGCTATGTCTCAGTTCCCCCTGATGTCTCACTGTCTCGGTTCTCACCAGATGAGACTCCACATGACGGCCGGCAGCGGGGCCCGTCCGTACGCCGACAGCGGCACCTTCAGCTGCATCGTGTCCGGCTCGATGTCGGGCGGCGCGTGCTTCCGATAGGGGGCGCCCTCGGCTCGGAACCGCTCCACCAACGCTGCGATCTGGTTGTTGGACTCGATGAACCGCTCCCGGGAGCGACGGTCGACCGTGGAGAGACACACTGCCGAGAGGGGCGGGCTGGGTTAGACCGGGTCAGACTAGACACTGCCGAGAGGGGCGGGCTGGGTCAGACCGGGTCAGACTAGACATTGCCGAGAGGGGCGGGCTGGGTCAGACCGGGTCAGACTAGACACTGCCGAGTGCCGAGAGGGGCGGGCTGGGTCAGACCGGGTCAGACTAGATGAATAATCCTCTGAAATGACGGTCCACGGGTTAAAGAGACAGGTCAAACAATAGGCGTCAAATAGACAGTGCGCTGGCCGGTATGCCAGAAAGTTGTGACCGTGGAGCAGCGGTTGCTGACACTGTTGAGCGCCATGTCTGTCAGCACCTGCATCACCTACTGCACGCATTTGATGCAAGCTCTTAGGGTGTCACTATCAGCTGAAGAGTTTTTTAGTCACGACTCACGACAAGGAGTGGAAATCTGTGAATTATTACGGCGCTCACTGTTAGCTATATTACGAATAAGATAAGGTGATAACACTCGTGACCATCACAGACCCGGCTCCGTCACCGGTGTGCGTCGCCTCTCACTCACGGTAGTACATGAGCGGGTTCTCCAGCTCGGGACACGGGAAGCCGATCACGCGGAAATAGTCCAGCATCATGCGCGTGCTACCCGTGTAGACGACGTCGCCCAGGCAGAGGTAGGTGACGCGGTCCAGGAAGGGGAAGATGTCCGAGCGCGGCTTCTCCATGGTCAGCACCACGATCCGGTTGTACTTCTTGGCGTGGTTGGAGAGAATCGAGATGATGAAGTAGGTGTTGAGCGGGTCCAGGTCCCAGGTGGGCTCATCCAGCAGCAGACACACTGGTCGAACACGGGACGGGTAACACACTGTGTTAAACATAGTTATCAATGTGGTCATTAATAGCAAAAGATAGAAGGGTGGTGGTCCTGAAAGGTGAATAGAATATATCACACGTAATCCACGATTCAAACACCATGACACAAACTGCTTCGATTTGAACGTTCGGACGAGCGTACCAACAAACGAATTAATAAATGAATGAACGAACGAACAAAGGAATGCACGGACCAAAGAAAGAATCGCTAAATGCATGAGCAGCTCCCTCACTTAACAAAAATTACACGTTAAAGTTGAATCTTTTCCCTAGGTACACCCTTCAAAATGAAGCTAACCCTAAGGGAATCCTCACACACTAACCTAACGGTATATCCTCAGGCACTAACCTGGGTCGCGCATCAGCTGGACGCCGATGACGAGTCGCTTGTACTCGGAGGGCGTCAGGTCCTCGACGCCGCGGTTGCTGACGTTGTTGAGCGCCATGTCGGCCAGCACCTGCTTCACCCTGGCCGCCTTCACGCCGCCGGAGATCTGATGGTGGCCAGAAACAGATGCTAGAGCACGAGCGGACCTCCAGAATTTTTCATTTACATGTCTGTAGCTGTTTCGGATGCTGATATGCATTGCTATGAGTATTTTTGTGAAACAGGGCATGCGACTTGCTAGCATATTCCAAATTTTGACCAAGCGGTCGGAATTTTGAAGCCTTTTTACAGTGTAGACTGTGAAGGAAAGAAAGTAAAGCTCTTCATTTAAGCCAGCGCGATGTCAAATAAATCGTCTACCTTCAGGCATCTGCGATGTCAAATCAGTCCAAGTGACACAGTAACATGTTGTGACACCGTCGGACCCACAGCACTCCGTCCTCTATGCCACCACCCTGCCCACCTGCATGGAGATGGTCATGTTGGCGGCGTACTGCAGCGTCTGTCGCACCGTCAGGCCCGGGATCAGGTCGGCCTTTTGCGTCACGTAGCCGCAGTGCTCCTGGAACAGCTGCTGTGACATGGGCACGTTGTTCAGCTGGATCTGACCTCTGTTCCGGCCCTGGGCGCGCCGCGAGATCACCTCCAGCAGGGCGCGCTTGCCGCTGCCTGGAAATGGAAAGACAGACGGTCCGATTAGATCCTAGCCGACACTAAGAAGAACGTTCAAAATATAAAATGCATTGCCCTAACGGATCTGATTTGAGGCCCTAGTAGCAAAAAAGGCATAAAAAGCACTTGAATCAACACGATAAATGCACACCAGACGTGTCAAAACATGATGCCGCAGCATACGAACATTCTTTTGTTTTGTTTTGTTTTGTTTTGATTTGACCGTGTTTTGATGTGAGTGAATGTGCAAATGTTATGAATTACTGAATTATGTAACATAACATATAATTAATGAATTATATGTTATGATTAGCAACCGCGGATACGGATTCTGAGCAGTACCTAATCGCCACGCATTTTGAATGTGGACCACTCTTAAATGTAAATACACTACAATACAATGCAATATTCAGACATTTCCCTCGCTGACAGCATTCATGTCTGACCTTTGGATCCGAGGATGGCCATGACCTCTCCGCCGTGCACCTCGAGAGACACATCCTTCAGGATAACTCCTGTGGGGACTGACCTTTGGATCCGAGGATGGCCATGACCTCTCCGCCGTGCACCTCGAGAGACACATCCTTCAGGATAACTCCTGTGGGGACTGACTTTGGATCCCAGGATGGCCATGACCTCTCCGCCGTGCACCTCGAGAGACACACCCTTCAGGATAACCCCTGTGGGGACTGACCTTTGGATCCGAGGATGGCCATGACCTCTCCGCCGTGCACCTCGAGAGACACATCCTTCAGGATAACCCCTGTGGGGACGGAGCCGAGCAGCTGCTGGAAACACGTCCCCGACTCCACCTGAGGTCACACAAAGGTCAAGAGTAGGTCAAGGGCAGGTCACGTTAGGTCATTGTCAGGACACGGGCAGGTCATTGGTAGAGGTCTAGTACGCATAATTGCGATCGGTGAATTATGCGTGTCACATTGGCATGTAATCGATCGATTGAAGATGGCTTTCAGCATTTGAACGGTCTCGATTAAACGATTGGACGCCTGAAAACACTCATACTCGATGCTGAGGTATAGTTCCAGGCCCAGTCAGTCCGTTCATCACACACGCAAAGACTCGCACATACCTGCCCTGTATGGAACACTCCAGCTAGCTGGAGCATGTATTCCTGATTGGGCAGCATGGTTCCTGAAACGGACGACATTTGTTAGTGGCCTATAGATATCGCATGACCACCTTCGCCGCTAGTAGTGGTAACTGAACTGACATTTGATCTAGAAGCCGACACCAGCACCCAGCTGGAGCAGAATTTGGGTGACAACAGTGGGGCGCTCGAGCCGCGTTGCTGGAACGGGCAAGATGTTATTTTCTTGTGCGGCAGTGTAGTCTCCAAGATTATCGGTGATACTGCCCTGTGTTGTGATGCAGTCTTCACTGTTTCAAGACGAGGGATGTTTTCTAGTGATCCGTTGCAGTTCCCAACGAGCAGGCATCCCTTCGGACATGTTTTATTCTCTCCTGTATGCTATTTTGATTAGATGCATAGTAAAAAGTGTACCTGATATGTGATGTGTAACTGATAGCATACCTACATGCGTATTGCGTAGTAGTATGCATACGAGTTTGCGTGCGTTTTTCCACATTAAGACAAACAAGACAACGTTCGCCCTAATCCAACTCTGCGTTGAAGATTTCATTATATGATTCATTATATAGCACTTATTTCATTAGGTATATGATTGTTGAAACGTGACTTCCAAAGACATTAGCTCGCTCTTCTAAAGCCAGAGAACGTTGATGTGAACAGGTTACGGTGCCCCAGCGCACACAATCACGCCGGTTATTTTTGGGAGTCGACTCGTTTTGTCCGACCGCTGACACCGGTCGTCAGCACCTGTTTCCAGTCACTGACCGCGGCGCAACTATCGACGGCCATCACCAACAATGAACAGTGAACACCACACTGGAGACGCATCCCGTTACGCCGACGTTACGTGCACGTTGTGAGCCCGGGCGGCTCGCGGCGCAAATCCAGCGGCCGCTCTCGCCAACATGGGAGAGACAAGGCACCGTTCCGCGCCGCTGCCCCGACCGAGGCCGGCAGTGGCACCGGACGCACCAGCGCATCGCTCGACGTTCAGTACCATCGAAACAATCGCAAAATCCTATATTTTAAACACACAGAAATGAGATGGACGAGACTTACCTGTCACTAGTCGTCGAAAGTTGTCCACTAGGACAGAGTTGAGCCGCTACAAACTCACCTGTCGAGTGGAGTGGAGCGCAGCGGTGGCACACACTCCCCTCTCGGCCACTCGCGACATTCGCCGCCGCCGCCGAGCCGAGCCCAGCAGCCTGGGAAACCGTCAACAGGTGAGGTGACGTCACAGCCGGCCGCTGCGCCCATTGGCTGCCGGCGCGGTGGTTGACCCGCACTGTGCACCGGCGCGGCCACTCTACCGCCCTACTGTCTGCCGGCGGCCAATGGGAGCCCTCGGACGGACGGTGCGCCGTTCTACCGCTGCGGGAGCCGTAGAGACGGCGGCGGCGGCGGCGGCGCTGATGCCGGTCCGTGTGCAGCAAACAGGGCGGCTGCGGGGCGGCGGCGGCGGACAGCGGAAGAGGGTGGACGGTCAGACGCGGCGGAGGTGCACGGTGCGCGGGTGGTGCCGCCACAGTGGACAACGCGGAGGCTGTGAGAGTGCCAGTGTGTCTGTGTGCGTGACAGGAACCTAACCGGACCGGCGAGAGGCACAACCCGCGAATGGAACATGAGGGGCCGGCGGTAAGTACTAACAACTCACCTGTGTCTGAATATCTTCTGAGATCACCTGTTGTCCTAAAGAACTTACCCACCGGTCTCCGTCCCTGACCTACCCCTCCGGTGTATAAAAGTACCGTGGCAACTTCCCTGTCCTGTCCCGGCAGCGGCTCCCGTGCTGTCCCTGTCCTGTAAGCGGCACGTCCCGTGTCTCGACGGCGGTCTCCGGTCGTTCGGTCGTGCAGCGCGGCCCGTCCAGAGGCCGCTGACCCTCCCCGCCTCCACCGCCTCCTCCGTGAGAATCTCGGCCCGGTGGTTGGAGGGAGGGAGGACAGCCTGGGACTTGGGAGACTGACTCGCGGGTAGCTCAGGTGGCTAGAAGTCGTGGGTACGTCGAATATTGCGGGCTCCTCCATTTTATAGCTTTGCCAGAATCAATCAGTGCAGGCTGCAGCTTTAATTACCAATGCATGCAGATGTTTACGAATACGGTTTGCTACTCAAATCGCATCCGGTTCTTGAGCAGCATTCGAACAAACGATGCCAAGCCACGTCAGGCATTGGTAAGGGCTTCCTCTCTTGGCACACCAATACTGTGATACGGTTGCATTATTGTTTCTCCGATTACATAGGTATACAGCGTTATCGCGGCTGTCTTCGAACCGTCTCTCATGGCGTTTGATCAATTGCGATTGCAATTGCAATTCCGTCCATTCCAGCTGACCCTGTGGTACTGGTGGTCAACTGGTCAGTGGTGAGTGGTCAACTGGTCAGTGGTCACCCTCCCGGATTACCGGCTACCGGCGGAGGAAACTCGGCACTCACAGCGCGTCTCGTGACGCGGATAACTTAACACCCTGATTACTGCTAATAACATGCGAGCACTTACCGCATTCATAACTCATGCAAGTCCAGGAATGAATTGCAGTTTACAAAATACAGTAACCAGGGGCATAATGCGTTACAAGCTCATTAGCTCAAGGACTCGAGCATGTCTACGTTTGGCTGGTCATCCCTGTTTGAAAGAAACTGACCTGTAACACGTTCTTATAATTAAGTTCAAGATCAGGGGCTCACCGGCTCAGTCTCGACTATTTGACATCCGGGCGTAGAAATCCTTCAGAGACATCGATTAAAGTTCGCCGTACCATGGGAAGAGCCGTCTCCGTCCGCGCCGTTCTCACATTCCCGGCGACCACGGACCGTGAATCCTGCCCGTGAGACCCCGCCGGCCCGGTACCGGCCTTGAAGGGTTCGTGGACGCAGCTCGTTACCCCCCCCCCCCCCCCCAGGACGGTGCCCGGTCGGTACACAAAGCTCCGCCAGCCCCTCCCCTCCCTCCCCCGCGCCCAAGGCCAGACGGTGGTGGCAGAAAAACGCCTCTGCCGCCGCCGCCGGCGACGCTACCGGCGACATCGGCCGATCGACACGCACGGTGCAGTGACCGCCCGGCGGCGGCGGGGGCGGGGCGGGGCGGACTCGTGCGGGCTTTCCGCCGCTCCGCCTTTGTCTCTGGTTCACGCCGTGTCACGACTGAAGCAGCCTCCAGGCTCGTGAGGGGTGAAAACGTGGCGCTCCAAGGTGCTGCGGCAGCCGTGCCACGTGGTCTCACGACTCTTCGGCAGATGGTCGAGCGAATCCGCAAAACCTCGAGTTTCATATCGTCAGGGTCAAGGACTCGTGCGTGACCCATACATAGTTTTTTTTTTTTACATGAAAGACGAGCGTCCAGTACCAATTGGTGTGGTCGGGTCAGCGCTAAAAGTGGAGCTTCAGCTTGTTCGTTGCTACCTGTCCATGGATCTCGACTGAAAAAAGTCACGATGACCGGGGTAAAGACCATGTGCGCACCGCCCTCGTCGGTTTCGGTGGGATGGTGCCGAGGGGTGATGGTCGACCGTTGATGTGACCTCCGATAGCTTCTCAGAAGTCTTCTGTCTTACCGCCGTCCGACTTGAGCCTCACAAACAATGGCACAGAGCATCCACCTCTGACCCCGTCTGCAGGAGCTGGACAATCCGAGCCATGAATACAAGTAGCGACGTTACAAAGTGTAACTAATTTGCATGAACTACCATGCTTTGTACGTAGATGTTTGGTAAGAAAAGCGCATTAGAAAAATATGTACACCAGCCGTTTGCGATGATTGGGTCCTTACCGCCCTCCCGATATTCGCCAATGGCGTTATTTATATTATATATGGCGTTATTTACTGCGTTATTTATATTTATATTATATGAAAAATTGCATACAAAGTTAATGGAGATGCAAGCCTGTAATTCTTCGCATTTGTGAAAGGACCCTCTCCACCAACGGGTCGGTACCCCGGCATCTGCGTTTTTTCGCTTATCACCAAATGAGCCTCTGGCGAAAACTTCACACTCTGAAAATGAAAGTCTCCTGGGTCTCTCACTCAACTGAGTTGTGCAACTTAGCGTGGCCCATTAGCGAGCACGGCTGGTAATTATTTGCGCCACTGAGCAAACACGAGCTCCCCGGACCTGCCCACGGTACGAGGCAGCAGCCGGCACCCCGCGCGGCCATTGCGTCAGGAGTGGCCCGCACCTGTGCCCCCAAACTATGGGAACGCCTGTTACAAATGACTCCACGGGTCAGCAGTTGAAACAAATGAAGCAACACGGCAGTAGTTATTTAGGAAAGCTGCCTGTGCGGCACCCGGAGTGTAGATGAAAGTGAGACCGATGTGAATGATGGGCTTTCAGCGGCACATCCTCGTTTGGTGAGCGCTACTCGCAGCGCCCAGACGCGCGCATTGCAATGGGAAGTGAAACCTTCCCGGCCCCCCGACAGCTCGTTAGGGTCGAGAGGTCAACCACGCTCAACGGATGGCTAATAAAACTCCTGGAAGATTCCGTCATGCAGGGATTATTATCATTCAGCAGTGCGTTTGGTGCCAGGTATGCTATACGCACCGGATAGTACCGTTTTACACTGATGTCTCTTGTGGAATTATTGTGCATAATTTCACCGTGAGTTAACACATGCACATGGACCTGAAGGTAGTAAGTAGTTTCCACTTGGGTTGTTTTGCGCAATATTAGATTTTTGAATTTGTTTTTTATCACTGACATGGAATAAAACAAACATACGAGACTTCATTGAAAAATATCAATTTAAGAGTGCATATTGCATATTTCGGATTATTGGTTATTTTCGAGCTGATTCGGTCATCTCACCCAGTTCGGTGCGATAACCGGCCCGATTCCTCTCGCGGTCTCTGACCAGTCGATACACACCCATCGGCCTGAATCCACGGGCCGGTTCCATGGCTGAGCGCCCTCCGACACTGCAGACGGCTGCTGAATGTGGTCAGCAGCGCGCCGCCGCCGGCTCCCGGGCCGCCGGCGTTCCGCGCGGGTTATAGGCGCGGCTGTCCGCGACCGCCGCCCGGTACCCAGCGGCCCGCTGACCCACAATTCGGCCGTGCGGCGGTGCGGTCATCCCAGGTATTTCCGTACTGGAATCTGCGGTCTGGCCGCTGCAGAGGGAACACCCGGTCATCGCCACCAGCGGAGGTGGTTGGAGCGATGACTTATCCGAGCGGATTTTTCCCGCTGGCTGGAAACCTGTCCTGCACTATGACTGCACGACCGTCTGAGTTCGAACGGAAGAGGAGGCTGCGGTTGATTAAACGGAAAACATAAGCGGAGTGGAACTAAAGCCTTGCAAGCTGCTCCTTACAAATGACACATATTGAGCCCGACTTCCTGATTGTCGGGTAGAATTATCTCACAGCCGCTACCGGATTTAAATTCCACGCAGAGGTTCCGCTCAGTCCGGTCCCGTTCGTGACTGCGCTGCCCCCGGTGACCGCCGGAGACCATTGTGCGCCTCTCGGTCGACCCGTCTGACCGGTCGTCCGCAGCGGAGTGGCCACGGTGACCGATTGGCGGCGGCGGCCGGTCGGAAGGTCACTGACCCTGGCCGACCTGGTGCGGTCTGACGTCCCAGTCCGGTCCGACGGCCGGTCCAGACCGCCAGCACAGCAGCCTCAGCGGCACATACAGGAAATGCCAACAATGCGGGCCACCGGTGTGACGAAATGTGGGACAGGGGTGAGCCGGCCGCCGGCTGAACGGATGGGCCCGTGGATGGGTGCGGTGAAGTGTGGTGGAAATGCACACAGAGTGTGAAGGACTGGAACGGTGTGTTTGTGGACGTTTGAGCGGAATCCGTGGGGCGCATTGCGTAAGTGGGTGAAATGGAACGGATCGGGAGGGGTGGCATTGTTCTACCACCGCGCTTTGCATGCCGTCTGTCCGTGTGCCCCAATGGACGCTAGATCAATCACACTAGTGCCACTGATGGCTGTTTGAGAGCGTGCGGTCCGAAACTAGGTCCCGCGCCGCGCCGTGAGGGGTTAATTCAGCCGGTACCGGCCGCGGCCGGGTCTGTGCGGGACCATTGTCCATCACTGTACTGAGTTGCAGCGGAGCACGCGATCGCCTGCTCTCGTCTGACGCACAGGGGGCCGCGTGGGAGGGGGTGGGCGCGTGCACGGCACTCGTGGCGTCCTGTGCGGCCGACACGGTCGAAAACAACATCACTGACCTTCGGTGGCGGCATGTTTGGCCCGCTCTCCGCCCCAACCATCGAGATTTCGCTGGAAGTAAGGCGGTGTCTCGTAATTCTTGTATAGATGTGCATCAAGGAGCGGTTTTATTGTTACATCTTTGTTTGCACATACATTGAATCGACGGGTTTATAGACGTGGCAGTGTGCTATCCGATCCTTTGATAGTTGCGCTGGTTGTGTCACCGAGTGTGGTTGTGTCAGTGTAAATGCTGGTCAGTGGTCAGGTTACCGACTACTACACTGTGACATAGACGAGTTAGATGAAAATAATATTTTTTAGCATTACTGGTTGCACGAACGTCTTATAGGAGCCACTTACGATTATAACAGGGAATAACTAGTTTGATAAGGTGCACTAATCTGCATGGTATGTCAGCTATACGAGTAGATTACGCATCGGACTACCCAACGCTGTGAAGACACCGTTTAACCCGCGCCCTGCTGGGGGGGGGGTGTTTGAACACCCCCCTTGTGTTTTTTCGCGAATATCTCAAAAACGGCGGCGCGGAGCGCCGCCGTTTTTGGTACACCTTATCATACATCAATTCTACACATGTTGTGAAAATTTCAGACCAA